GCTACATTTGCCATCATATCCTTGCCATTCGACCAATGAATGCAATTCTCATGATTTATATTACAATATGTGTTGCGATTCAGTTCAGGCATTGCCAGCTCCGGGTCCAGTGCGCTATTATACTCGTGAGTGGAGTCGTAATGACAAATGAGTGGTAAGCCCGGGATGTCGTTGTCGACAAAGCGCTGCCCATCAACATTGGAATAGGAGGTCATGGGCTCTACTCTATAGACACCGTTATTAGCACTCCTTTGCATCATTCTGTAAGAGTTTCGTCTTATAGCGAATCCATTAGAGCCTCCATTACACGAATCGACTTTCGATTTACTTTTAGAGCTCACCGCTGAGTGCAAACAGTCACACATTTAGACATTCACACCATTCACACATTCACGTGCGCACAGGCTATCAACTGCTAGACTACTAACCGGCTAACTCTTCGGTCCAATCATGATATGAAGGCCTCTTCATAAGCAGCAGTCGAGGCATCATATGAATGAAGAGAGTGCGGACCCAACCGGACATTCGGTGAGTCGATGACGACCTGAAGTGCACGTTCAGGACACCCACCGTCACACATATAGACAATGTGACCAGGATCATTGTAAACAATAAGTATTTGCCTAAAAGTGGTACTGCGAGACTTGTTGGCTGTTCACCACATATACCACACATAGAATGAATGAATTAGTAAATAACTAATAATAAAAGTATTGGGCTATAAAGTGATGATTCAATTCTTACGGGTATTATTTCGGCCAAAAGTAGAAAGAACACAGTGAGCGATACGAGAATGGATATGGACAAGGTGACTTTCTCTCCACTATCAGACGGTAAGTAAAACACTAATACCGTGAGGAAAGAGATACCGACGCACGGAATGATGAGATTGACGGTATAGAAGAGGGTCTTTCTTCGGAGGGTTATATTGAATGTTACGTCGGGATAGGGTTCGGGACAGCAATCATAATATTCTTCATTATAATTGGCAGGAATTAGAAGGATATCCCACTCAACACTCTTATAGAAAGCACTCATATCGATCCCCATCTCCACTGAGTTGGAGTCGTCTTGTTGTTTAACGTGACGGAGATCTACCTATTAATCCAACCATTAATTCATTGCAATACCATTATAATTATAAAACTCAATCTGTATTATGTTATTACAAAATTTGGTAGTGAATTTCGTATATTTAAAATATTTCAATCAAATTAGTTTTAAAAGGATTTGCTCACTATGCTTTATTTAATATTTATAACAAAGATTTTTATATATTTTATCATTAATAATAAATTATATTTTGGCGATTATTTGACAGTAGAAATAAAATCCAAGTGAAATACTGATACAGTATAGTATAGTATACTTTTCTCAATACAAGAAAAGGTTATGTTGTGCTGAACTGTACAGTATATACAGTAATACTATAACTTATAAAGTAATCGATATCTAATGATAAGATGTTGTAAGAGAATTCAGATTCTGTATCACAGCGTATGGTTCACTCATTTGTAAATTATTGAAATTATATAAATAATAATTCTCGGGTTATTTCAGATTCTTGTGATTGCTTAATAAAAACTTGTTTCACAATTGTAGCTTACAATTTGCAAGCAGCAACACTAATATAATAGTAATATTCCACAAAATTAAGTTAATGCATTGTGGTAATCGCAATGCAATTATCATGTATTAAACTAAAATAATATTATATTTATCCGCAATTGGATGCTTACACGTTAGTATGGACTACAGTAGATTTATAATGCACTTATAATAAAAAGAAAATTCTCACTACTTATATATTTATATATGGCTACTTTGCATTAAAGAATATCTTGTTTATATTAATAAATAAAGTGTCAGTACCTCATGTCCATCATAAGTCCAACTGCCAAACTTCATTAGACACGATTGTTCATCAAATGGGAAGTACTCGACATCTATTTTACAGGTAGACTTGTA